CCCGCGCGCTCGGCTCTGCCCCACGGGCCTCTCTCCTTCCCCGGACCACGGCCCCTCCGGCCGCGCCTCTCCCTCCCCGGGTGCTCTGGAGCAGGAGTCTTTGTTCCTCATCTGGGCCGGACCCAGCTCAGAAACATCCTAGGAGATCCTGAGATGGGGCTGCTTGGGAGGCGGGGAGTCCGGGAACTGCGGTGGCCCTACCGAGTACCCAGGGGGCGCTGCCGTACCTGCTGGCGCAGCTCTCCCAGGCTCCCACACACCCCGAGATGGCTCGGCCCTCCCCCATCGTGCCGGGGGCGTCTAATGAAGCATCGCCATGCCCATGCTGCCAGATCTGGGGGGGCCCTAACCTTAGAGCTGGTCACCAGCATCTGCGGAGGCCCCAGAATGGGGGCCCCGCCGTCAACTGGTCTGTGGCTTCTGCAGCCAACCCAGGAGGTAGGGACACACCTACCTGTCGTGGAGGGCAGGAGAGGGGTGTGCACAGTGATGAAATCACAGAGAGGCCAGATCTCCTCCAGGGGCAGCTGCTCCACACCGAAGGAGGCGGAGACCTCAGGCGAAATGATGGGGTCGTACCCGACAGTCTGGTCAGAGGGGGAGTGGGGCATAGTGTCACTATTAATTATTGCTATTGGTGCCACTCACAGTGGTGACCTTTTATTGAGCAGTTACCATACACCAAGCACTATGCTAAGCTTTTTGCAGACCCCCCTTTACTCCTCATGACAGTACAACGGGGTTGGGGCCACTCGTCTTTCTTACTGCTTTGGAGCTGAAGGCCGCAAGGCTTACTCACTGTGGGCTCCTCTCTTGAAGTTCCTTTTAAAAAGGCCTAAAATGCATGTGGCGCTGGAGAGCCTGACGTGGCGACTAGTCCCAGGAAGGTATAAACGACTAAGGACGGGTCCTTTCGACATGGCAAGGCTGACCGGGGTGAGGGACGAGGACATCAGGGGAGAGGGGGGCGTCGAGGCACCAAGGATGAGGAAGAACCCGGGGAAAACCGTGGTCTGGGGAGGAGGTGGACCCTCGAAGCAGAGGGGCCTTCCCGAGGCTGCTGAGAAGGCAGAAAGGTTCACCCTAGGGGGGTCAACTCCCAGGGCGAGGCAGTAAACTCAGGAGAATAAACTTCATCAACCTCACGAAATTGGCCAAAGGTCGCTGTATACTGGTGTCAAGACTAAGGGAAGCTGAAGGAGACAAAGCTCAGAGGCAGGAAGAAAGAATATGCAGGCCCAGCTAATAGTGGCCAACACTGATTTTGCGTTTACCATTATGTGTCAGGCGCTTTCATCTAACTCATACCTGATGGGTCAGGTACTGTCATCTCCCCATTTTATAGATGAGGAAACTAAGGCAGAGCGGTCACTGAGTTAGCCAAGGACACACAAATGGCGAGCGGTCGAGCTGGGACACAAACGAGGATACTGTGACTCCGGAGCCTGCACCCCTGGTGCCCAGCCTGGGAAAACGGGCTGGAGTGGGACGTAAACATCTCCTCTCCCCCATCAGAAACAGTCTTGGCTGCCAGTCACACATCTCTTGGCAAGGGCAGTGCTGTAAAGGTTACCAAGCCAGAGCAGGCACCCTGGAAGGAACGGCACCCAGGTGTGAAGCAGCTACCGCTGGCAGCAGCAGAGACCCACCCAGGACACTTTCCCAGAGCTGTCTCCACGAGCTCCGCCCAGGTCGGCCACACTGGCTGGGGGGAGAGAAGTGTTAGAGCCAAAAAACCTCAAAAGCATCGATGTCAAGAAGGCAGGGCACCCAATGGCCCCAGTGGACCCACGGGACCCTAGAGAAGAACTTTTGAGTCAGGGGACCTGGACCTGAGACCTGCCTGCATCGCCATCAGCTGTGTGTCCAGGCTCACGTCAGTGTCCTCCGGACCTGGGTCCCTGATCCCAAGCACAGGAGCCGAGTGGATGACTTCAACGTCAGCCCCTGCTCTAACTTTTAGGAATGCACTAGACCTTGAAAAGGAAGTTCCCTTCACCTTGAGGGGAGATGTTCAGGGCTGGCCCAGGGCAGAAAAGACAGAAAGCATAACACCTCAACACGGGTTATATCTGGGTGGCAGAGTTAATTTTCTTCTCCTTTATGCTTTCCGATGCTTTTTAACTCTTCCCTACTGATCGCGAATCTCTTCTGAAATTAGGGAAATGCCAAAAAGTTACTTTAGAAAATAATGACACAGAAGACGGCTGTATCAAATTCAGCGCTTCCGGAGGAGAAACCGAAAATGGTTATGAATGAGGTGTTGATTCTGGACCACATTTTCGTCGCCAGCCTTGTGGAACAAGGAAAGCCAAGTGGGCCCCGACCAACCATCGGAGAGGTTCTGGGGAAAGAGGCTGCCGCCCCCATGCCCTACAGGACCAGCAGCTTGTGCCCACAGGGCCGTCCCTTCAGATAGAACCTTCTCGTTTCTTACAAGGGGAGAGGAACGTCCAGCGAGGAGAGAGGCCCCTGCCCTTGTTCCTACAAGCCCTCTTTGTCTGCCCGCTCTGAGGCTGGCTGGAACAATGGCCCCGTTCTTCTCTAATCCAAATGTCCTTTTTTTTTTTTTCCACGGGGACCGGGGAGAGGACAAGGGACCCCAACGGAGGTCACAAAGCCAACCCTGATGGAGCAACTTCACACAACTATCACCCCTGAGCGCTCAGCTCAGAAGCCAAGAAACGTCTGGGGTTGCCTGGAGGACCGGTCCCCACCGCAGGCGCCTGGGGCTAAAAAGGAACGGGATGGGGAGGAGGAGACGAGCCCCTTCCACAGCTGTCAAGAGGCCCTGACCCAGCTTCCTTCCACAGAGAGACAGAAAGGCACCTGCAGACAACTGCAGGGAAAGACTGACTGAGAAAACCCATTCTCATTTTTCACTGGCGCTACCCAGGGCAGACAGGAGCTGCACTCAGCTAGGAGTCGGGGTCCTGGCACCAAGAGACCATGCTGCGGGGAGTCAGAAGGGTGACATCAGGCCCAGGAGACCAATGCCTGAGCAGGTCCGGACACGTCTGGAAAGCATCAGATGTCCTAGTGCACAATTTCACTGACTGAGAAAACCCATTCTCATTTTTCACTGGCGCTACCCAGGGCAGACAGGAGCTGCACTCAGCTAGGAGTCGGGGTCCTGGCACCAAGAGACCATGCTGCGGGGAGTCAGAAGGGTGACATCAGGCCCAGGAGACCAATGCCTGAGCAGGTCCGGACACGTCTGGAAAGCATCAGATGTCCTAGTGCACAGAAGCGGGAGCAATTTCGGAGACACGCCACATGAAGACTGTGCCTAGAGGGAAGATGTGTAAAGGGGACCCCCATCTCAACCCCGGCCCCCGGACAGACTCCCGAGATTGGGGCAGTGAAGGAACCCTAGCTTTTCAAGTGCTACTCCAGGCTGACTTCCTGGCGGGTGTCACAGTGGGCAGCCTTGGGAGGCTGAGCAGGCCTGGTCCAGGTCCCTCTGGCTCAGCAGTGGACTGACAGCAAGGACGCCTTCAGGAGAAAGGGGCCCCAATAGGGGAGCCCAGCCACACGCCCCCTCCTCATAGCCCAATGTTTTTAGCTCAGCATTATACCTCTCCCCACTCCCGACAATGAAATCTTCAACAGAAGCCTAATATAGAACCAGATCGATCCAAACCTGCCATCTTCCCAGACCCCTCCTGTGTCCCTCTGCAGGCTCTGGGAAGCACGTGAGAATCACAGCTCTAGGGCAGTAGGAAATCAGTTAGGAGAGCTTTCGTCAGGAGGAAGGCTGAGGACAGTGCAATGGCCCAGGGCCTGTTTAACTAACACAGACCAGGCCTAAAGACGGCTGTGCTGCTGGTCCAGGGCGGAGAGCCCCAGATTAGAAGGCGGGAGGCCCCCAGTCCGAGCTGGCCTCCGCCACCAGGTCCTAGTCTTATTATCTTGAGCATGTCATAGAACCTTCCTGGGCCTCGGTTTCCTTATCTGCAACTGGGATGATAATATGTCCCCACCGCGTCGCTGGAGCGCAGTGTCTGACCAGCAGACCTCAGGAAACATTAGCTGGGCCTGAAACAATCAGTGGTGACTGGGGCCTCGGGTTCAACGTCCATCCCTCTGGGCTAAGTCGACTTCAACGCAACACTGGCCACAAAGAAACTGTTAGGAGAGGCTGGTCTGCTGGCCACAGAAAACCCTGATAAGAAAGGCAAGGCTCAGCCAGCGCCTGGCCAGCTTGGGCTTGCGGACACATTCCAGGGCACGGGCCAGCGCGAATGAGTTGAGCCTCCGATGTTATCACCTGTTATCAGCAACGCTACTGATCAAAACCAGAAAATTCTATAAAGGGTAAGACCCGGATGAGTCAGGCCACCAGCGAGCTGCCAGCGGTCAGAATCATCCTGAAACCCACAGCTGTGCCATGTGGCTCAGAGCCAGCCAGCAGCAGCTCTATGGTGCCATGTCGGGGATCCTCCTAGGCCTGTGCCCGTTGGGCATGGCAGCGTGGGCAGGCTCCCCCACCACCAGCCCCAACGCACACGCAGGCGGTACCGGGAGGCTGCCTGGCTGGGCTCTGCAGCACAGCTCAGATCTAGCCAGGCTCCCCGCTTTCAGTGAGTGACCAGAGGAAGAAGGGCAAAGGGGAAAGCCCATCCCCCACACCTAAGCACAAGATGGTCTCTCCCTGAGGCTCCTGTGATATGAAGGGATCAGTTCTTACACCGTGACCCCGTGGAATGGGTCGGATGTCAGCCATCCACTGACAGCTTTCTTAGTGACTAACAGCCTGGGTGACAGATCAGGGCACAGGACACACCTCCGGTGCCAGGGAGAGAAGGGGACGATAAAAATAACCTTCACACGCTTTGCAGTGCTGCGCGTGCCCGTCCAGCTGTCGACCAGAACAACGCAGTGTCCCCTCCGCCTCCTGGGCCACTCTGCGTCTTCAGTTACGGTGTTCGCCCAAGTGACCGCAATAAACCGCAGTTCTGAATAAATCCACACCATTTCCTATGGCCGCACAGCAAACTCACTGCTAAGGACCACTTCACGGGTGGTGGGTGCCAGAGATGTCAGGGCTGTCGAGAGCACCTGCTCCCACGTCCCCGCCGATGCTCACGTGCCCTCCTCACGGGCTGGCCCAGTGCTGGTCCAGCCTCCCAGGTGTACCTGCAGTGATGGGAGCTTCACCCTCTCCCGAGACCACCCACTCCGTCTGGGGCCAGCGCTTGTCTACAGCTGTCCCCTCTGGCTTGTACCTGTTGGTCCCTCTGGATTCACTCCTTAAAGAACGTGACTCTTCACGGGGCTGCCCTTTAGCTGTTCAAAGGCCCCCATTGTGACTCTCAAGTGTTGACTTGGAACCCCGACGCCGTCAACCTGTCTGCAGGAAGCAGGATGAGAGGTCCTCACCATTTCCTGTCCCCAGAGCTGCAATCCTGCAAAGCATGGGGCCCTTGACTGCTCACAATACACGCGGAGGGTCCGACCAGGCCAGAGCATGGGGAACATCACCTCCCTTGCTCCGGAAGCCACACTTCTGCTCGTGCCGCCAAGGTCGCATTACCTTTTCTTTCGGCCACACCACTGTTCGCCACACTTCGCTTTTGTCAGCCGAAGGCCTTTTCCCCCAGAAAAGTTTTTGAAAGGACCTCTACACCCAACACTTGTCTAGTTGCTTTTGGGGTCCGTCTGGAAGGGCACTGAGAGGTATTGTAGCTACACTTCCTGTTAGGGTGCCTAACCATTCCAGCCTTCCTGTGTTTTAGGGCCCGATTAGGCACTTTTCTATTAACCACCTCTCCCTGCTTCCTGTCATCCACAAGTGACACATCTTCCAGGCTGCCGATGAGAACGGAGGACAAGGCAGAGCCCAGGAGCTGTCTGGTACACTCTCCCTTCAGAATGAACCGGATCGACCAGTTACTCCAACCGGCTACTCACCTACCCCTTGGCACCAACCAGAGCAACTCCCGCCCACGTCCACATTTGCAAACAATCTAAAGGTCCGTGTTAATAGAACAGCCAAAGGAACAGCTAAGCAATTTATCCACACAGTAGAATCCCACGCAAGGGTTTAAACGCACGGCAAACCTATTTATTCCAAGACATACGTTTCCACCTTAACGACAAGCTCGGTATTCTGTTTGCTGTAGAGGACGCGTACCTTCTACACAAACGCACAGGAAAAATCTGACACGTGCCTAGATGTTACCTGAGGACACCAGGATCCGGATGGGAATCAAAGAGACCCTCATCTGTATTTCGATTTTTGTGAAAATGCCTTCGCATGTTATATAATTTTAAATGGTCTAGGTGTATGACATCTAATTTCCAGGCTCGACTAGTTCCATGTCAGTTTCCCAGGAAAGAACGAGGCCAGCTTACGGCAACTTGTGTTTAGTAAACACTGATCCCTGTTTCCTAGCTGGAAACCGATAAACCATCTCTTTCACAATTTGTTCAAGAACCTTCCTTCCTTCCCTTTAGGAAATCTGGCTCCCCACAACTGCCCGAACATCACCTGAGGTCCATCATCTCTTTGCCCTGAGACAAAGACGTGTTACGGAGCCCGGTCAAGGTGAGCAGCTGAGCACGGAGACACGACCTGAGTCACCCCAGAACGGCCCGAGCCAGGTAGCTTTTGAGGGGCTGGAGTGGGGGCGGGGGAGGCAGGGCGATACAAGGCAGATTTCGGGGGTTTACAAAGAGCGTGTCCCCGAAGCGAGACAGCGCAGAGTGACCCTCCGGAAATGTGTGGACAGAACCACCGAGGGAGGCACCCGGACCCGTGTGGCCATGCTGGGAATGGAATGTTTGGGCATGCGTGCGGGGTGTGTCCAGCAGCACAGACTGACATTCCTGAATAGGCTCTGGACATCTCTTTGGATCAAACACACGTCTGCGGGGTGTCAGTCACTTCGCGGCTGATGCTCAAGGTCCTACAAGCTCCTGGGCCTCTCGGAAACAGCCCTGGACAGTGGCTGAGTGGCTGAGGGCTGCCAGATGGACAGATGAAATTACCGGTCACTTCAGTTACACAGGAAATGAGGCGGGGCTTTTCATCTGGGTTAAGTCACTGCCAAAGTCTCAGGTCCTTGACTTGACAATGAACACCCGACATGCTGTGGCTCTATGGGGAAGGGGCACCAGGACTAACAGAACAGGGGGCCCTGGTCCGTCCCAGACTCCAGCACCATCCATGAAGTGAGCACTCTCCCGTTTGATTCTGTGTGCTTGGAGTTTTTACTTGACCCCTGACCCCTGCTTTTAGATGACCCGTTAATTCCCGTGAGCCAAACCTTTATACCTTGATCCCTCACGCACAGGCGGGAGGAGAAAGCATTCCCTGGGGCTTATCGCCCTGCCACCCCTTGGCTTCGGTTTGTTTTCAGGATCAATGGATCCTGCGACACACCCACCTCTTCCGGAGATCTAGAAAAACGGGCCTGCCCTTCCCAGAGCTGAGGCTCAGGAGAGACGTCTGGCTGCCCGAAAGAAATACGGCGGGGTACGGAGGCAGGCGAGGACGAAGCTCAGTGTGGTGACATGGGGAGTCCACCTGGCTTCTTGTCTACCATCCATTCGCCGTGAGCCCTCAGGAAAAACCGACAAACTCCAGGGGTCAACGGAAAATTAAGCGTTTACACGTAAGGTCCCTTCTAAACCTATGAAGGTGAGAGGAACAGACAGACAGGGAGGGGGCAAGGGAGACGTGGAAAATTCTGTAACCGTGCTATGTAAATTTTTCTAGACCTGAAGTGATCTGATTTTCAAAGCTATTTTCCTTAATGTTTAACCAAAGCCTCCCTGGCTGTCGTTTGAACCCACAATCGCCTCAAAAGCCACAGTAAACACAGAGACATCCGCCAGCAGTCACTCCGGCCTAGGCGAGCACTCCTGTGGCGCCCTCCGCTCGGCTGAGTGGCCTCCCCCTTCGTAGGCCTCCCACATTGACCCCAGGGGGTGGCACTGCTGTTGATGACAACCCTCCCTCAACCAGAAGCCTACTGAGCTCCCAGAACAGGACGACGCAAGGCCTCATGGCGGGAGGCAGGGATGATTTCTGAAAACCACGTGGGGTCTTCAAACCACCATCGGCTCTACCATCCCGTCTCAGTGGACAGACAAGCACCTTTCAGTCTCTTCCGGACACTGGAGGGGAGCGGGAACATGGACGGACGATTGCTCTCTTTTAATTGGTATCAGTTTGCTCCTGTTTTCTGAATCACCACAGGTGACAGACACAGCGAAACGAGGAGGCCGTCGCAGCAGGGGAGGGGCCGCCAGCAGGATACAGGGGCTCTGTCTTCTCCACTGCGACCCCAAAGCTGAAACCTCCACCGAGTAGTCCCAGATTTGGAGTTCACATGTCCACAGCAGCGGCCCACCGCTCCCGCCCTCCCTGTTGAAGTCAGGGGCTCCAAAAGGGGTGTGGGGGTCAGACCCTCCTGGGACAAAAGCCTTCAGCGTCTCTCGAGCAAAGCTGCCTCTTCCACCATGGCTTCGGGAAGCCAAACCTCACAGGGGCCCCCACCTCTCACCTTCATCCCAAAGGACTGCATCCGGGCGGCCACCTCTCTCCCGATTCTGCCCAGGCCGAGAATTCCCAGGGTCTTCCCGCTCAGTTCTGTTCCCACGAACTGCAACCAAGCGGGCAAAGAAGCCAGAGTCGGCACCAGGCCTGGGCCTCGGGCACCGGACCCGACGGGCGAGGCGAGGCCAGCCGCTCACCTTCTTCCGCTCCCACTTGCCGTCCTTCATCGAAGCCGTCGCCTGGGGAATCTGCCTACGAGGACAAACACACGTTCGGCGGGCCCGCACTGACCCCCGCCAGCCCAAGACGGAGGCGTGACACGAGGTGTGCACGGCCGCCGTGTCTGCCGGGGATGCCCCCGGAGGAGCGGCAAGGTGCGTGGCAGAGGGACGTGCCCGGCAAGGCCTGACTGCGAGTCAGGGAGGAGGCCCCGATTCCATCCCAGCCTCTGGAGTGTCGATCTAAGTGACTGGGCGAATAAAAAGCCACAGCCCACCCTCCAGGGTCTGCAGGGAGGACGACACGGGGTACTGAGGGATTCTGACGGCGTCAAGGGTTCCGCGAGTTCAAAGAGGTTCATTTTCCTGTTCCATCCAGGGCCACAACCTGCAACATCTCCCGAAGCAGGGGACAGCTGATTCCCGATGCTTCCTTGAGAGGCAACTGAGTGTGTGTGAGTGTGTGTGTGAGAGAGAGAGACAGACAGACAGACAGAGACAGAGACAGAATCTGTTCTGCCATCAGAGCCCCACCGGCTCATGCAGAAACTCAGCAAAGCTTAGGGAATGAGCTTCAGGGAAGAAGCTCCATCTCGGTGCTCTGGCCCATGGGGCCCCGGTAATTACTGACAATGACTTGCCTCGAGGAAGTGTTCCCTTCTCAGCGAGGCTAGCCTGGCAGACAAAATGCCTCTGACCTCGCAAGACGGAGCCCTCGCCTGCTTCTTCTCGGTTCTCACCTCCTGCTCTCTGCCCACCGACTCCATGCTGCTAAGATGTACACACGGCACCATGGAGCACGGGAAATCCCCAGACCCTCCCTCTAGCTGCTGTCCCCAGCTGGTGACAGAGCCTCCCCGGGTTTTACACTTTAGGGTCCTCGCCAGGCCAGTCAGCTGGGGGACCATGATGGGGGGAAAGGGGCCTCGCGAGCACCGACCGATAGCTGGCCCGACTTACAAGAAGAGGAAAAGGTAAAGTGGGCGAAATGGGGAAATGAGCATTTGTCGTGTTCTCTCTCTCTCTCCGTGTCGCTGTTCTTAGCGGTCTGCACGTCGCCAAGCTGAAATATTTCTAAGTTTCTCTGGGTCGCGTTGCTCGGGGAGTCATAATAATTGACCTACCAGAGGGACCGGCTCTGCCGAGAAGTCGGGGACCTACCTGGCCAGACACATGATCATCCCACAGGTGAGCTCCGCAGCACTGAGGCTGTTGCCATTGGGGGTGCTGAGGAGCAAAGACAAAGGGGGACGGGAGTGAGCCCAGACCCAGTATTCCCATCCCGCCCAGCGGAAGGCCTCGAGTGCCTGCCACGCGCTGTCCCCTCCTCTGTGAGCTTGCGCACTCCGAACACAAACCCCACGTCCCCGCCCCGGGGTTCTCTGATGGCCTCCTGCCCACGTGCCAGGGCTGGAAGGAAACGCTGGCTTGATGTCCGCACGCAGAGGGAGACGCACACCTGGCCTCGCTACCCCTGCTCCTTTCTCCCAAGGCACAGGAGTGGGACAGACCTATGTGACTCAGTCCCTCTCTCTCTCTCTCCTCTCGTCTCTGGATCTACCTGCCCACAGGAAGCGCAAATAACCTGTGGCGCCACGTAATCTATCTTAACAAAGCTGTGCCTGTGACCAATGCAGAGGTCAGCCCGTCGCCCCCTGACCTTCGCCAAGCTGCCCTACCAGGCTCTTATCAGTAGCAAAGCCAATATTTCTATCTCTGCCTGTGCGACCTCTCCCGTGCCGTCCACAAGCCCTGAACGAGAAAGCGTCCTCACACCTTGATAGGCAGAGCAATGCTGACTCTGCCCATTTCCCGGAAAGAAGAGAGACAGCACCCCGTGAAAGTGAGCTTCTTTCTCAAAGGCTCTTTTTTTTTTTTTGGCTTTTGGAAGAATTTATTAACACACATGTTCACACTCCTCCTTCCTCAACTGGGTCTTTTCATCTCCAGAAATGAAGGAGAAAGCGTCCTCACACCTTGATAGGCAGAGCAATGCTGACTCTGCCCATTTCCCGGAAAGAAGAGAGACAGCACCCCGTGAAAGTGAGCTTCTTTCTCAAAGGCTCTTTTTTTTTTTTTGGCTTTTGGAAGAATTTATTAACACACATGTTCACACTCCTTCTTCCTCAACTGGGTCTTTTCATCTCCGGAAATGAAGGTTACAAGGAGAAAAAAGTCTAGAGACTCTATACACATTAAAAAAAAAAAAAAGATAAAAAGATTCTTGGCGTCTGTCTTTCCACAAGACCACCTGGCTTCCTGGCTCCCCAGCGGGACAGGCTGGATGGGGACACTGGAAGAGGCACAGGGGCTGGGGGCTGCTGCCTCTGGGTCCGGGGCAAGCATGTCGGCTGGGTTAGCAGCTAACATTCCTACTGCACGGTAGTGTCGCTCAGATGGCCAGTCAACTAACCCCGTCCCAGGGGGGAAGTGGCGGGGGAGGGACTTTAGGATAGTGAGGTTCTCTAGGGAAGAGAAAAGGCTCGAGAACCAAGAAAGGGACTGGGGACAGTCTTGCGTCACCAGCTAAGTGCCAGACGGGAGCCAGAAACGAGTGTCACCACGCACTGGCATGCCGACAAGACCTCTGCCCTGGATTTCCGCAAAAACAGCTCTACTAGGGACCCTTTGCCTCTTGGCCCTGGGATGGGAAAGAGAAACTGAGGCCCCGGCTCCGGTGGGAAGTGAGGCTGAGAAAGAATGCGCGGTGTCCCTCTCCCGGGAGATAAGAATCAAGGCAGAGCTGACAATACCTGGCTGCAGCCAGGACAATGGGGGACGGAGGGCTGGGGGGCACGGCTGGAGCAGAGAACACAGGTCAGTTTGCTAACACCCTTCTGACCCCCAAACTGCAGACCCACAGCATCTGAGGGGCCCGGTCTGTGAAGCATCTCGAGATGACAAAGAGAACATCCATGTCAGAAGCCCTCGAGCGTCACCCAGGCGTCCGGGTTCGGCCGGGACCAGGCCTCCTCCAGGAAGCCCTCCTTTCTGAGGTGGGCTCTGCCCTCCCTCCCCGCGGTCAGGCTCCACACCCAGCCCGGCCCCCACAGCTTACTTCATGACCAGGATGCCCTTCCTCGTCGCGGCCTCCAGGTCCACATTGTCCACGCCGGTGCCGGCCCTGCCCACCACCTGGAGCTTCTCGGCCGCATTGATGACATCGGCGGTCACCTTGGTGGCAGAGCGGACGATAAGGCCTTCGCAGTCCTGAGGCAGAAAAAGAAACATCTGGGTCCACAGACTTGATCTGGAGGACCTTCTCGAGCTTCTTTGCCCCCAAGTGGGAGCCACATGCTCCGCCCTCGGTCAGGCCCGGGTTCGAACCCAAGTCCATCCCATACGAGCCAGGAACCTGAGTGCCAGCCTCCTCGGCTGTGTGGGAGGAAGCAGTGACGTAGAACAGGTACAGCACCTGCTCCGTGGGCATCGTGACCTCCACGGACCCCGAGGGACGGAAGGGAAGACGTGGGATCGAATTCTGCTTTGGAGCCCCACGCCTGGCACGTGGAAGGCATGCGTCTCATGACGGTGACAAAGAGAGCTAAAGAAAAGACTGTTGAACGAAAACCTTTTCCGAAAATAGAGACCAAAGGAAGCTGGTCTATAGCAGCTCAGAAACTCAGGCAATATTAGACCAAAAATATACCTATTGGAAAATAAGACCTTCCGTATTCGTCACAGCTACTCTCCTAGGGCTAAGCTAGACCCCCCCAAGACAGGCTTCCGTAGGCTCCTCAAGAAATGAAGCAGGTGAACGTACACGTGCTCTGCCCCAGACTGGCTGTCCCAGGTGGGTGAGCAAGCCACCCACAGGGCGCCTAATATGTATGTATCCAATATTATGCTCGACTCTCAACACAAGGTAAGTCACGGCCCTGTCCCGACAGACGCACACGTGTGGTGTGACCGCAGCATGTAAAAGCATGGGAAGGTCTGAGGAAGTAACAGGAGCCACCCCCTCGGGGCTGACCGCCAATACCCAGTGGAATCCTGAAGGCTCTCTGAATGCCTAGGTGAACATCAGCCAACGCCTGGGCAAAGGGGACACTGCTGTCTGTCCCACACTCAAGTGCACTGTAAAGAAGCATCCCCCCTGCCTGGCCACACAGTACCGAGTTTTCAAGGCACAATAAACATTTCTCCCATGAAACCTTTGCCAACAAGCCTGGATTCCGTCACCGTCTCCCCCTAATTCTCATATCACCTGGTTCACATTTTCTTGTCCTCCGACCTGCAGTTTGCTTTTCTCACATATCTTACATCCCTAAAGCGAAGATTGTTTTAATAGCTGACGTTCAATAAAACAGTAAGTTAATAAATGAATCCAGTGATCTGAGAGGCCCATGCAAACCTATTCTCCCCACTCCACAGTCCTTCCCCAAGTAGTCAGACATGTCCCATGACTAAAAATCCAGCATCAGAAATCTCTTAGATGACTGCGATAAAGAGGCTTAAGATCTATATATGGGAGCACTCGGGAGTTTTCTGAGCCTCCAGAATTGTCAGATTTAAATTTCTGTTCTTTAAAAAAAAAAAAAGAAAAAAAAGTAGTTTTCTGAAAAGGAAGGACATATCGGGAGGGAGCCAGGAGAAAAATGTTCAGAAACTGGCAAGTCAACTAACAGAACTGAAATAGGTACTAAACACACAGACCCGTGTACGTGTGGGAATTTAGAAAATAATAAAGGCAGAATTCAAACTGATGGAGGAAAGGAAGATCCACCTGAGAAATGGTATTAGGAAAACTTAGGGGGAAAAAATATTTAATTCCTACCTTGCTGCAGATTTTTCAAAACCCAGAAGAATGGAAGAATATCTTACAAGAATTTTTTTAAGTACAAGCATTATTAGAAAATGTAAGGGGTTAAAAAATCAATTTTTTAAATGCCAAAGAACACAATAAAAAATAAATAATAAACAAAATAATAATTAAAAAAAAAAGACAAGCAAAGGTATAAGAAGGTGATTCACAGAACTAACAAAGTGGCCAGTAATTTATAAAAACACTAGGCATCCACCGCCCTCCCCGAACTTTGGGGATCTGCTTCCCATAGAAAGGACTGGCTGCGCAGGCAGGACGCAGGCCTCCAGCGGTCTACTCCGTCCTCACTGGCCCTGAGGACGCGCTCGGAAACAGCCCTATTTGTCCTCGCCAGTGCAGTCTGTGGAAGGATTGCCCGTAGGGAGATGGACCCCGTAAACCCTCTACTTTTCCCTCAAGGGTGGTGTCCATTAAACAAGCTTTCTTTGAAGCCAAGAAGTCTGAAGTCTCGAGCCAGACCAGGATGCAGGCGCATTCAGAGCTTGCTTTGTAGACTCCCTCCCAGCAGACCCCGGCCCCCCCTGGCCTGGCCAGAGTTCATCAGCTTCCAAGGCCTCTGACATCCTCCACTACCCCCGCTTCATTCAACTGCAACATCGACGGATACATTCAATAAGCACGAATTTACTGACAGACAGTATCGCCCACTGATCCCTCCACACCCAGGCACTCTCGAGCACCATTCTCTTTTCAGGCCTCGTGTCATCCCTCCAAAACTTGGCTCCTCTCCTGTACTTATGCAAACTACCACCCTTTGCAAGGCCCTTTGCAAATCCACAAACACCCTCTGTGTAGTTCGCTGTGATTCTAGATTCTAACTTTTTTCTCCAGCATCCCGAGGTCTTCGTTGGCACTCCTGGGGCGGGAACGTGCCTTTCTTGACACTGCACCCACTCTGCAGTCAACTGCTCTGTGAGTGTGTATCAGTGTGTGAGCACAGGCTGTAACAGGCACTCCCTCCTCCCTGTCGCCATCCCTCAGCTGCCTTAGAGCTGGAAAACAGCAGGCCACTGTTCTGCTGGATTTATGGCTGTTCCTGACAAACTACGCTAACTTAGCAGTGGAAACCCACTTAGCAGTGGAAACCCACTCCCCTCCGTCAAGTTCACACGTGCTTCCTCCTCTCCCAAGGAGGGCAGGCTTGGCCTTGGGGGTGATTCTGGAGATTGCTTGTGTTTTCGCACCTCTAACTTAAATCACTGAGGAAGACAAAGGAAACTTTTCAGCTCACGTTCCTTAGCTATAGAGGATGCAGGTAGGCACTGTTTTGCATAGTATGTGGGACATTGATTAAGAAGGTGGTTATTTCACTTTGGAAAACTAAATCCTAGTGTACAGGCTAGAACTTTTCAAAAGACGGACTCTTGCATGGAAATGCATCCCCTTCTTTACCGTTCTTAAAGTTCTAGGATAAAGACGTAAATGTGCTCAGATAGGTTAAATAAATGCATTACCAGGCAAGTGGTCTAGTGGATTCTGAACAGCACTGCCATTTCACGAAACAGAAGAAAAGATGCAAACGCATCACATATAGTAAAGGTATTATTTCATGAAACTTTATGTGTGTGTTATAGTGAGTTATGATGTAAAATCAATTTCTGATTGTGGGTCATAGTTAAGTTAAAAAGCCACTGATCCATGGTTGAGATTTAAATGCTCCTGCGTATGAGATTTAAGATGTGACTGACACCTGCTGATCCGAGAGGGGTACACAGTCTAAGAGTCTGTAAGTTTCTAACAAGATGCTTTATTATTCCAAGCCAGTGTTTTTCCAAGAAACACGTGATTAAGTTGTGATTTTAAACTCACACAAACACACACACCACAAAGACACACATAACTGAAACAAATTTCAGGACACAATGCTTCCCTTACTGCCTGCACTGCTTTCTGATATATCTATTTTTAAATGCTAATCACGACCCATTAAATCGGCTTCATCACTCAGTAATGGGCTAGCTGGGACTTGCCTCAAGTCTGAAAAGGGCCGTTCTGGGGAATGGAGAGCGAACCGTGCCTGTCTGCCCAGAATACCAAGGAGCCCACACCCGGGCCAGGCCCGGTTCAGGCGACATGCTTGTGGCTTCCTTAAGCAATAGAAGGACTTAAACAGGGGGAGGGCAGGACACTAACCAGGCAGAACAAAGAGGCGCAGTGCGGAAGAGAGGACCCTCCCACGGGCTGCCAAGGAGACCAACCGGCCTCTGGAGGGAACGTTTTACAAAAACAGCCACGGAGGCTGGGCGCTCCCCAACAGCCCCGCGATGCCTGGCAGTCGGGCACCCCCTCCTCTCACACCAGCTCGCAGCGCCCTTAAAAGGGGCCTCCGACCCTCAGCTGCAGACTCCCTGCACCGCCCAGGGCGACTTCTCAACTTCACGGACCGGGCGGGGGCGCGAGCCCCTCCACGGCTGGCGGGGCCTCCCATTGTTCTCCACTCCGCGATGACCCCTTCCGGGCCGCGCCCCCCGGGGGCTTTAACTTCCCAAAGAAAGGGGCAGAGCCGAGTGCAGGCCCCTCTTCCCGACCCGGTGCTCCGGTGGAGGTGAGGGTCAGGGGCTGGGCTGGAGGCCACTCCACTGCCTTCTGGCCAGCACCCAGAACCAAGGCCACTGACGCCATCCATACAAAAGAGGTGACCTGGCTCTCTAACTGTTCTCCAAGCTTCTTGAAGGTAGCGACCGCTCGGAAACTTCTCTGAGTACCGGACAAGGCTGGACACCCGGATGTGGCATACGAGGGAAGAGGGGGGAGGGTCCGTAAGGGGGGCACAGGCGTCGCGAGGACCATGCGATTTGCAGCGCAGCGAACGCCCCAGCAGCCGCCTCTGTGGTTTGATTTAAGGGACCTTGAGGGGAGGAGGGGGAGGATCCGCGCACGCTGGCGCGCGCCACCCTGCGGGGTGTGCGAGTTGGGGGTTGGCGTAGACACCCCGGGGCGCTGGGTGCAGTAGAAGAGAAGTGCAGGAACTGGACTGAAGAGTTCGTAAGATAAAGCCCGGAGGAGGCCCCCAAACCTCGCAGCACCCTTACAAACAAGGCAGACCGAGCACAACAAACCCACACATTCCTGAGAAAGAGCTGCTAAGAAATCAGTTTCCTGGGGTGACTGGGATCGGATTCTAGTCCAGTCTGGTCATTCCTGACCAGCGATGAAGCCAAGGGTGAGGCCGCCGGCGGGGGCCGCGGCTGCAGACGGAGCCTGGACCCTCGCGGCGGCGGCCGCGTGCGCGGCCCAGGGATCTCTGGCGCCCCCCGCCCGTCCCCCTTTCCTCCGAGCTCCCAGGAGGCCGAGGGGCGGTGAAAACTCTCAGCAGTCTTGCATCAGACGAAAGGCGGGTACGTCTGCTGCCTTCCTTGCAGCTTCTCCAGCAGCCACGAGACAGGCTGGGGCTCTGCCAGGGCCCCCCAGGGAAGGCAAGGTCTCGGCCGGGCGAGCCAGGGCTTGGTCGGGGGAGGATCGCCGGTCCCTGAGCTCCCCATAAGGAAGCCACTTTAGCGTCCCTTCCCCGGTGTCCCCGCGCGGCGACCAGCTGCCAGGGCCACCGCGCGCGAAGGCGCTGGGGAGCCGTGGGGACATCCTGCCAGCAGCCTGCACATTGCACTGCTCGCGGGAGCCGAGCCAACGTGAAACGCGCGGTGCAAACTGAACGGAAAGTTTGTATCCTGCAGCTCGCCGCCTGCAGCTCGCCTCCTCCCCCTCCCCCAACCCCCAAATCAGGAGGCCCCAGAACCAACTGATACCAGGGGCGGGGTGGGGGTGGGGCGCGCCGGCCCGGGCGCAGCCAGCCCGTTTCCGCCGAGGATGCCATGGAGCGCTTGTCTTTATCGCGCTCGCCTTACCTGCAGCTCGGCTATCAGCTCCTCTTTGCTCAGATTCTGCTTCTCCACCACCTGCAGCCCTCCATCTTGCAGGATCTTCCGGCAGCAAGGGTCCAGGCTATCGCTGATGAGCACTTTCCGTAGATTTGCAAAGGCCATTGCTGGAGCCGGCCTCGGAGTCGGCCGCTCTCACTGGGCAGAAGTACCTAGGCCGAGAAGCTCCTACGCCGGCGACCGGGCTCGTGTAACTGGGCAGGATTCGCGATCTCCCGCTCCCCCTTTATCGCCCCCTCCTGCTCCTACCGTCTCCTTCTGATTGGACAAAAATGCTCCAACTCGGTGACTCCGCCTCCTCCTCGAGATTCTGAGCCTTGAGTTCCCCGCCCACTTTATTATTCTCGGGCAACGAATTTCTCAATCTCAGCCAAAACCCTCCCCTACCCCTGGTGAGCATATAGAAACACAATTTACGCTGACTAGCTGATTTATATCTACAAATAAACTGAGGAAGATCTGTTCTCAACGTGAGAAAAATGTTTCATCGTTACTTTTGCCTCCTGAGGGCTTGTGTATTAATTCCTAAACAGGCTTTCATAGAGCATACACCTATTATGTCCATCAAAAAGACAGACCCTCTTTCCTTTGGCGGCTTAACATCCGAGGCCTAACGACACAGACGTGGAAAGCGAAATAATAAAAAGCGGTAGAAAACTGTTTTCGGGGCCTCACGAAGCAGTGATTAACCCTAAATGAGTGAAGCCATGAGAATTCTGAGTTTAAAGAGAGCCAGGACTGGGGGCGTTTAGACCAGCCAGAATGTTCGTTCAAGTTCCCTATTCTCCTCCTCCACTTCCTGTCTGATGATGAAAATGAAGGAAAGGAAAAAGATGTCTGTCTGGACTAATTTATGTATCGACCAAGGAGGCACATCCCAGCTCTTAACGACTCTCTGTTTAAACCTCATGGCAAGCGTGCGCTTCCACGTCCCACTTTATAGAAATACTGGAAAGTTACAATTTTGATTATTTCTCTTTTTCACTAATTTATTTTCAATTGTAATTGGCATGTAGCATTCCGTTAGTTTCAGGCGTACAACACAGCGATTCAACACTGATACACCTTGCAAAGCGATCACCACAATAAGTCCAATAACCACCGGTCACCTACGTGACTCCGTTCCCTATGCTGCACTTCACGTCCCCATGACATAACTGGAAGTTTGTGCTTTTTAAACCCCTCCCTCTGACCCCCTCCCCCTCTAGTGACCATCAATGTGTTCAGTTTTGGATTATTTAAGGCCACCTAGGATGAGAAGTAGCATAAAGGATGCTCCTAGATGAGTTAGAATTCAGTTTTATAGACATGTCCCGCCCAGTTACCCATGGTGGGCAGTTGTCCTGTACCCATCCCTAAACTCAAGTGCTAGATCTTCATCCTATAGAACTATGCCATATCAATATCAATACACTATCGATACCTTTATGAAAATTTTGGACCGATCGATTCTAAGCACAAATCAGAGTTTATGCCAAATGTTCCCAATGGGAAAGATCGTTTGCCTGTCCCGTTCGCTTGTTTGGATGATTTCTCGTTCCCACATGCCAACACTCATGGCTGTTTCATTTCTCTTGCTCTCAGGAGATACCCAGCAGCCTTGGGGGCCCTGGGCGCAGACAACAGACCCAGCCCTTACGAAGGGACTTCGGAAGCACCGACTTTTCTTACCATGTTCATTCAGCCCTTCCCAGGACTCACCCTCTGCTTCCCCTCATGGTAGAATCTAAACCCTGCTCTCTTCAAAGTATAACCCTATCCCCTCACCCCAAGTCAGACTTTGTGGCTGTCGCTAGGACTCACAACCCAGAGGCCCTTGCACAGCTGTCACCTGCGCATAACTTTATTATTTATGCCCCCGGGTACTTTCAAAATGGATCCAAGCCACACAATGAAAGACAATTCTAAATCTATTAAGAAAATAGTTAACAGGTAAGAGTTGATTTCCAAGTGGGAAGGAAGGCGTGTGATCATTTTTACCATAAATAAATCGGAAGCATTCTTTTTAAATTTGTATAGCATTGTCTCCACATTATCTCACAGTGCCTTTTATAACATATATGTGAACTTTTCATGTCTTATTCTCCCATTAAGATCAGAGACACAACTTTGTATCCCATTATAGTGCCTACCACCATGCTTTCCGCGTTGCGGAGATTCAAAAGAACTTTCATTCAAAAATTAATTTATCAAGCATCTACTACGTGCCAGGTATCATGGCTTAATAGTGGGGATATGGTGATAAGACACAACTCTTTTCTCAGAAAGAAAAACAACATTGAAAGTATAGCATTAGACCTATAAATAGGGACGTGCCGAAGTACTTTGAGAGGGAGAAGAGACCCCCAACCCCAGCCCAGCACAGCAGGCTTCTGCCTGTCGCCTTTGAGCAGACACTTTGATGCCCCTTTAGACGGCCACACTGAGAAGTCTGAAGATGCCCAGATTAGCAAACCGTACTCTGCCTCCAAACTGATCATGGTCAATTGCCTGATCTTGAGAGCTGAAGAGGAAGTAGCCAGGAAGAGAAGAAAAGACATTTACAAAGGCCCAGAGATGTGAAGAATTGCAGGATAGCTGCCAGGGGAGTGGGAGATGAGACCGCGAGGGGCCAGGGGCTGCTCATGAAGGGCTTTGCCCAGAGTTCACACTTGACTCTGAAGGTAGTACAGAGATGCTGAGTAATTGTTTAGAAGTGACTGTGATGAAATGAGCTAGCCGAGATGAACCCCGATGCTGCCAATGTCGATAGTACCCCTCTCCTCTCCAGCCCCAGCCATCACCTTTATCTCCGACATCTGAGGGCTTTTCTTTTCCTTCTACAGCTGAGGGGCAGGGAAATGTTCTCCCTCTCCCTGTGGTCTTGCCTCCTTCCATAAAACAGGAATTTTAGTGCTCTTGGAAGTATTAGGCAAATAGTTCTGCCCTTCTCTCTAGTTCCCTCCCCTCCCCTGATCAGTGAGTTGGAGGGGAGAGTCCCAGGGGGATCCCAGGCCAGCAGTTTCCTGGCTCCCTCTTTCGGAGCTGGAAGCCCACAAGTAATGAGCACTCACCTGCTTCCTGGTATGGAGTGACCCCAGCAGGGCAGGCCACACCTCATGCATGCTCCTGAGCTGTCCTGCCTGCAGGGGATAAGGTCAATAGAGGGGAGGAGAAGCAGAAGTGGGAATCCCATTTTTCAACTTGGAGCCCAGCTGTGATCTCCAAACTCACGTGAGTAACAAGTAACAAAGCAGGTATTTTGAGGGGTAAATGAGAAATTGTTCTCTGTAAAACAGGCCACCTGGATTTAAACTCCAGCTTCTCAAATTGCTAATTACGTGACCTTGGGTGAATTACATTGCCTCTCTAAGACTTAGTTTTCTTCTCTGTAATATGGAGCTAATGGTAGGATAGTGCTTACTTCATAAGGTTGTAAGAATTAAATAAGGCAAAGCACACAAGTGAGTGCCGTCTGCAGCTACGTGGCTTTCGTTCATTCATTCATTTAGTCAGTCAGTCAACACATATTTATCAAGAGTCTGTAATGTGCCAGGCACTGCTGATGGGGCCGGAAATGGAGCTTTGAGCAAGACAAACACAATCTCTGCTGTCACGGAGCTTACGTTCTGGTTGGAGACAGAAAATAACTAAATAAATGAAAAATGGAAGAAGATGATCTCAGGGTGTGATCACTATGATGAAGACTATAAGACAGAGTGACATGAATGAGAAGATGGGGTGCAGGGACATCTGTTTTAGACTTTATGATCAGCCAAGGCCTTTCCGAGAAGACGATTATTTGTTTTGAGACTGAAACAAGGAGCCAGTTATTCAAAGAACTAAGGAAAGATACTTCCAGGCAGAAGAAAACACAGAACGAGTCTGGCACACTGAAGGAACTTGCCCACACATATTTCTATAGCACAATGCCAGACAATGGGATAATGATGTTCAACAAGTCACACGAGGCCCCTGGACTGAAGGACTGGCTGGCAACACCAACAGCTGATGACTCAACCTGGCCAGGAGTTTAGATTTTATTCTAAGTAGGGCAGTAAACCATTGAAGGGTTAGTTATGTGGAGGGGCAAGTACTATCTACGTTTTAAAACGATCGCTTTGTATTCACACACCGAAAAAAACCTCCTTTCACAGTCTCGTTTTTATTATGTCTGTGAGTACCAACGATGACAATGATTAGCAGAGCTGGGTCTTTTGTTTGGCACTTGGTCTAACTCAATAAGGTACACTCGGAACTAAAAAGGCAGCTCTCTGACCGTGTGAGTAATAAAAATCAATGACTAACGGATGCAGTTCACCACCTGAGAACTAACGCATCCTGAGAGATGGTAAATGCCTGACGAACCACAAGATCAAATTAGGGGGAGAAAAATACTGTTTCATCCAAATACAATTGAATGTTAAAAAGCAAAAAGAAAAAGAAAAAAAAAACACCTCAGTATAATCGATTACAGTATAATTTTTCTGCAGGAAGTGTCTATTAATAGAAAGGCTGGTCTCCATGTTCGAGACGATGCCCCGAGGCGAACCTTGACTTTCATCCAGCACTGTTCCAGCAGGAGAGGAAGACAGTGCACGTGACGGACAGGGGTGCCGTGGTCATCTGCAAGGTGTGCTTTGATGTGGTGCAGGGAGAATTCATCAGATCTTATCACGTCTGTATAAAAATATCCCTTCTGACTATGCAACTGCCTTTCTTTACTATTCTTCAGAGTAATTATTTTATTTTCCAGATACTCTGACGCCAGTTAGGGGCCACTGAGTGAATCTGTTTTCTCCAGATTTCATCGCCTTTAAGTCCTATGGCAAAAGGAAGAACAGGCAGAAACTAAAAGGCTGTTTTTTAGTTTCAGGGACACGCTGTCTAGTGATGGGGGGCAATCTGGAATAATACCTGAACTAATTTACTCTTCTCTAGGCCTGGAACGACAGTAGGTTGCTATCTGCAGTTCTGCTGTCAGTAGGTTGCTATCTGCAGTTCTGCTGTCGACTCTGAATCTGTTTCAGTAAAAGCTCAGAGGAACTCATTCTCACTCATGTGCAAATGACTGATACGATCTTAATCTAACTTCCCTCATTGTGATCTGTATGCACATTTCGTCTATTCAAATAAAAACTGATATTTATGTAGGAATTGGATAGTTCATAAAATAGTGATGACCTAGTAAAGTAGAACAAACTGATATTATCCACGTCATTTCAAAGATGAGAAAAATTGAGGCTCACGGAA